AAAACTGCAGTAACAGCAGAAAAGCTCCCATAGAAACTGATTCTCTACTCAGTAACCTTGTTTGCAGAGGACACACTCAATAACCTTATCGAAAACTTGAAACCAGTTAAACCCAAACCAGTTAAACGCTGACTGGCCCTAATCAAAATATAACAAAATTTCTTAATTTCATTTTGTAAAACGACGCATAATGGATAGCACCATGTGAAAGTGCAGCAAAAGAGGTTTCATTGAATGTTCACGCCACAGGATTTGGTTCGCAGTGTCAAAAGTTAGAACTACCTTACGAGACTCCATCGTCGACTATGGTGGCTGTCATAGGATTAAAATAAACCGACTGAATAGGTTCAAAGGAGGACTGAATGGATCCTATTATTCGCTTTTGATACATATCGCTTTAACCCTTTTACTCTCATATTGAAAGTACTTAATTATCTCTCCCATTGAGGGGTTTCTCAGGGATAATGAAACAAATTAGTTCAAATGAAAAATAAAAAAGAATCCCAGCTGGTCAGGAGCCTATAACCCGGAGCGAGCAAAGTCCATGCGCTCGTCAGTCTTTGCGTTTTCACGGACCAGTTTATTTAAAGAACGGTTTTGACGCGAATCTTGAATCTCTTTTTAAATTACATAAAACCAGCCATGTAGCAAAACCTACAGAACTAAAAAGAATATTTTTTGCCTTTTAATAACGTTTAGTTTTTTTTTTTTTGATATCGTATACTTAGAATGCGCTCATAGGCGTTTAAGTAGTCCATTTTGGACGCTACATGATATCGAAATATATTATTTCAAGCACATTTCTAGGTAGTGCGTTGCACTAAATACCAAAAAAAAATGATTTCTCTAGAGTTTATTCCATTTATTCTTGTTCCGGATTACGGTCAATCGATCATACTCTTAGTCTTGTTTTAGTAAAAACACTTTTCAACTGATATTTCAGTCTCGCCTTTAACCAAGTAGAATGGCTTCAACTAGACTTTTTCTTTACAGATTCGGTGTTTCGTAACATTACCAACAACACCACGGAACCTAGCAGTAAAAATTCGGCGTTTTTCATACCTCCAAATATTCAAATCGGAGTCACCATATTGGCAGTATCGATATTTATTCTTGCACTGATCGGTAACATCGTGGTTATTTACATCGTGTGTACGGTAAACCACATGCGCAGCTCAACCAACACGCTCATCGCCAACATGGCCGTTGCTGATCTGTTGATGACTATAGACATACCGTACATACTTAAATTTTTCTACGTGGATCATAAATGGTTTGGAACCTTCATGGGCACCGTGTTATGCAAGTTTTTTCACTCTGCTTAGGTGGGATCTCTAATAGCCTCCGTGTTTAGTTTAGTGGCAATTTCTCTCGATCGACGTTTTGCTATCTTGTTTCCAATGAAGACGGTTATGACTAAGCACGTTGTACGTTTCGCGATCGCTGTGGTCTGGCTAGGAGCGCTGGCTTTCTCACTTCCAGTCATGGTGGCATCTAAAACTGCACAACTTAAAGGCACGGATTTCTTGAGTTGCGAAGAGGTCTGGGCGCCCATGTCAGCATCCACTTACAGCCTAGTTCTTCTTACAGGTGGGTACATCATTCCACTGATAATCATCGCCGTTGTCTACAGTCTAGCTGGAGTACGTCTGTGGAACAGACAACTTCCTGGCGATAAGAATTTGGTCTCAAACAAAAACGCACAGTCGTCCAGCAGGCGTGCAACAGCTATGTTGATAACTGTAGTTATTGTCTTTGCTTTGTCTTGGCTGCCTTTTCAAACTTTGGAGATGCTTCGTGGATTCAACAAGCCACTATTTTATTCACTTCCGATTGAGTTACGATACACCACACCTTGGTTTGGTTACGCTAACAGTGCTATTAACCCAATCCTTTATGTGATATTCTCTGAGAATTATCGTCAGGAGTTTTACCGCATTCTGTGTCGAGGTCCGACCAGGAAGGACCGCTACAGAAGGACAATCATAAGCCGAAGTACCACGACTAGATCAACTCGTCTGTCACGTGCAAGCTCATTGGCTGTAAGCATTCCGCTTCAAAAGCTTAGAGAGGAAGCGAATTATAGACGACAAGGACCTGAATCACCCTGATATAGTGCCGCAATATTCTGACCCCAAGGCATGAGAACTTGATAATCTTTGTAACATCTTGTATTGACCAAGACACAAAAAGAATCGCGACACCAGTAATGTCAGATTCCTATTGTCACTTGAAAGAACAATTTTCCAGAGCGCTTAACTTTTCATAAACTGTCTCTCACAACGAAGTCTGTAACACTGCTTTGCGCTGCATTAAAAAAAGACAAGCGCCCAAACTCCTGACATTAGGGCGGATTCAGAAAATTTTGGTAAGGGGTTGTAGCTAGTGCTCACTTTACACCCTAGCACGCGTTATGTATTATTCCAAGAGAGAACTTGATTATTCTCTACTCTGAATGACTTTGCTGTCATGACAGGTTTTCACAGTACATGTGACAACAGCGAAAACGCCACCAAAAAGTAAGTTCGTGTTCTTTCAAACCTCATCGCAATTATTCCAACTTGTTCGCCTCGTCTAATGAAAGCGAACTCTCCTGAATTTGAATACGTAACAACCCTATCCGGGTTCCCAGAGGGAGAGAGGAATTATCGTTCTTTGTTCACGTCCTCCATGAAACGTGAAATTATAGGCAGTTTAAGATGTCACTACGGCGACGGGATTGCCTAATTTCACGTTTTATCGATAACGTGAACATACGACGACAAATTTCTCTCGGCTCTCTTTAAACTTGAATATCTTTCTTAAGAACTCAAATCCAGGAAAAGTTTGCCTACATGGGACAAAGTGAGCGAGTCGTGATAATCGCGCTGCAGTTTCAAAGAACGTGAAGTCACTTTTTAAGTGACGTTTTCGCCCGCCGTCGCCGTTGTGGTACCTTTAACTCCCTTTTTTCAAATTACACTTCGTACTCTTGCAGTGACGCCGAAATAATGAACCAAAAAGAGTGATGCATGTGCAAAGTTGTTTTGGTTTTTAAACCCATTGTTCATAGTCGTCGTCCTTGCTTAAGGCGATGTTAGACGGTACGATTTGCAAGGAGGATTTTTATCTCAGCACAACGTTCCAACATTGTTGCCCTAAAAATCGTCTATTGTGACATCATCCCCTTTAAATCATTTATCTCTTGTGTTGTGCGGTTGCAATATAATTTAACCTAGGTCTGTCAATACGAACAAGAGTCCCATGGTAGAAAGGCATTTTCTATTTAAACTACTGAAAACCAGCTAGATGAATGTTGTATTTCTAATGTTGTTTAGTTTAACCAGGCTTAGACGGAACATCTCTAATAACTTTGTGGCAGTTAGATTGACGGGAAAAATAGAAAAACAAAACAAAACAAAGTGGGTTTGGAAGCTTACACTTTATTAGATTTAGTAAGACTCTATGTAGGTGTAAACAGAGATTAGGTTTGTAAATAGAATTAAAAGATGACATTGAATGAATGTAATGGAAGATAATGAATATGATACAAATGACAGAAGACGTAATCTATTATTGACAACTTCGTCCCTAGGGAGTTTCCTTAGGAAACTGGGAGGGACGCCCCCCCCTTCTATTTTTTTTTGGGGGGGGGGCGTGGGGAGGAGGTTGCATGACAGACACGTTATACGCAGGCTCGATTATTAGCCACTGTTCGGCAATTGAACCCGTGCTTCAAGAGACCGGACCCACGACAGCGGCGGAAATCGAACCTACATTCTACGAAGAAAGCGGTCTTTTAAGTGTAGAAATAATCAATTTTATTCACAGATGCATATCCCGTAATATGCACCAGCCCGCGAGCAAGCTCTCCATTTCGAGTTGCAAGTGAAGCAAGCCGCAAGACAACGCGTGAGCGAGCGACCCCACCCGTTTCTTGCTCTGCTGGGGGTCCTTTCGAGTGCCTTGTGACTTCTCATCCCCCATGTGGGGAGTTTGCTCGCAGGGTTTATGTGCACTTGCTGCCTGCCACGAAAGTGGCATTAGCTTTGTCTATTTCAAACTCAAACAAACACGAACTACGAAAATAATTTTTTCCCGTTCACAGGAAAGGAAAGGCAAGTTAAGTACTGGCCTGTAAGAATTATTATTATTATTATTACTTGATTTAATATTTTAAATTATTGCTTTAAAACATACATACTATCAAAAAGGTTGAATTTGAAATAAGTAAATAAACATTAAAGCAGCAAGCTATTTTCTGTTGTCGTCTTTGCCTTTTTTAGGCCGTTTATGGTTCAGCATTTGTTCATTTTAACCTAAGTAAAAAAAATTATAAACCCTCTCTAAAAAAACGGGCCCAAATAGAACGCAAGTTCAAAGTCCAACGGGTCAACTGGGCCAGCTTTGAAATAAACGTTGGGGTGATATAGAATTGAAGAACAGAGCTCAATCTTGTTTTCAATAATTGCTTACCTTGTTACAAACGCCATCTTTAAAATGAAGCCTCGGTCGGTCCTTTCCCACTTTCGATGAAAAATGTGTGTGCTGTTCAATCACCGCTGAAGGGTCCCCGCAGTAAAGACATTTTTTCCAATGCCCCTTTTACCTTGGGCCAACTCTTCGTAAAAAAATCTGCTTGGATGACTTTTGGTAAGAAAATTACCCCAGCCACCGGTAGCCCAGGATTTTAGAGAAACAAATGGTTCCAATAAAACCCATTTAATGGCCATAAATCGGTTTGGGAGCCACACAGAAAAGGAGAAACACACAACTCACGGGAAATAAGCCGATCTTTATTTATTTTTCTTACATTCTTCGGCTTCAGAAACAATCGTCTTTTGTTCCCATACAAATTCTTATATTATATAGTTCGAAGTTTACTTACCATTGCCGATGGTCATATTTTGAGCTTGTGTTGCATGCTCCAACCAGTCATTTTCCCCGATCCGATATAACACGAACAACATAATTCTGCGTTTGTATCCTACTCTTTCAAAATTACTTATTTCATTGGGGAAACTTTGTGTACTTTGTGTAATTCACAGCAACTAAGGTTACCGTTAGTATCAAGGTGTCTAAATTACACAGTCGGCGCTGTAATACAATTATGAAAGATATGAGTAGAAAAACAAGATATGCCAAAAAATAACTATAGTATATAAAAGGACAGTAGTTAAAAAAAAAAAGAAGCAACGAAAGCTCAGTTTAAAAATAATGATGTCGCATTGGAGCTATGCAATATTTGTCTTAGGCCAAGAGTTACTCTCAGTTGATTTTTTATTTTCAATTTTATTAGTCGAGCTTGCTTTAGAGCAGAGCGAGACTCTTAAAATGCAGTCGTTTTTTCTTCGTCTGTGTGACCTAGTTTGTAGGCCCCGCGTTCCTAGCGAAGACCGTGGAAACTGGGGATAAGAATCGTGACGACTTTCATATTTGTATGGAAATGAGTCTCGTGATGAGCGTGTGGTTTATTTTGGGGGCTGACTGGAATAACGCGCAATGTTTATCACGTTTAAGTGCTTTTCTTCCATGTAAGAAATCACACTTTGTCTTTTGCGTTAAGACAGGTTACGTTTCATGCTTATATGACATAGTAAGCCGATAAAATCGTAAGTGCAAAACAGACATAGCAAAAAGTAAAACTGTAAACACGTGCTCTCTCTCATCTTATGGTAATTTGGTTCTGACCTTCGCGATCACGTGCGAAAAACTAAATACAGCTAAACGTGAAAGAAAGAATAGTTTTGTAAAGACGTGTTCCGGGTCACGGTAGCGCAGAATCTGGGGATCGATGAAAATCGACACGATCCTGTAAATCTCAGTGAACGCTTCGAAAAACAACGCGCAATTGTCCAAATGTTATGTTTTGAGACGAAAAATTTGGAAAGATTAGTGGATTATACGGTAATGTCGCTTACAAATCCACACACGATTCGTGGTAGACCCACACTAAAAGATGTCGAGCGTTTTCGAAATGGGTCGTTCCACGAATTCTGCCGTTTGAAAGCGTTGATAACCAGTTTGAAAGAAGTGAATACATCAGATGTTGAAACAAGGAAGAATGTTCATGAGCAGAACTTCGATGATGAGGTAAAAAACAACAAGCAAATCGTCGTTAAGTTACCTCTCGTGTTCAACAGCCTGATTCTTTTCCTTTTTTTCATGATGCTGGATACTTGTAACGAACAACATGATATTTCGTACATCATTAATATTCTTGTACAGGCGATGATAAATGTCGGTTTGTTCTACGCATGGATTTCTACGTTACAACATACGGAAAATTGTCTTCAGAACTGTAATGTATTAGAAAAAGTTATCAATTTTGCTCATGTACATGAATATAATGATATGCCAGTGTCAATAAAGGTTGAAGAAGTCAGATCTCGTTATGCAAAGTAGGTGTATGGCTACAGTCGTCTTGAATGTAGAAGTCATGAGTACAAACGGGATCGTGAACCTAGCAGAGTACCAGAGAACATGTTAAAACGTCTATCTCAAAAGAACAAAAAATTACTGAGTTATGTATGGAGTTGTTTGAGGAAAAACGTACCAAAGTCATCGAAAATTCATCGTTTTATCAAACATAGTGCAAGACGGCAGAAAAGCACACACAAGATTGCTGTCAGATTTGTACAAAAAATGAGAAGGAAACCAATTGTCAGGCCAAGAAAAATTAATTCTTTAATGAAATATGGTTACAATTCAAATAAAGATAAACATGGAAAGAAATATTTCAAATACTTTAGATTGTTTTCCTGCAATTTCCCACATAGTGAGTACAAAAATGTTACTCATAAAGGGAATTGTACAAGGTACAGGCTTTCAAATGATATAGAGAAAAACCCTGGTCCTCTTATGCACGGTGTTGATCGTACTAAAACAATACAAGCACCATATAGTCAAGGAGATGTTCATGTATTTGGGCAAAATGCAGGGCGGCAATGTGTTGTAATGAGTGTATGTGCTTTAATACACCACAATACAAAAGGAATAAGTAACTCTGGTGACTTAAAACAAATAATGCATATTGGCAATCAACTTTACAGTAGTTTATCACAAGTAGCAAGATGCTCTTATTTACTGCTAACTGAATTACCAACAATGCTTACAGTAGCAGAAGAAAATTTCCGGCTGGAATACAGTGCAAGCTATAGTGGCAATGTCCATGGTGAGGCTACCATTGAAGGATACGAATACTGTTTAGGCCTAAAAAGAGCTTTTGAGTCATTGATATCACAACAATACAGATCATTTATTTTGACAGTTGGTTGTATTACTGTCAGTATTGTTAACTGTGTTTATAATGGCCATTTTAAAGTGTTTGACTCTCATGCCCTAGATATTTATGGTAAGAGTCATCGTCAAGGGACTTGTGTACCGTTAGATATACCATCTAAAGAAAACTTAATACAATACTTTCAAAGTATATATGGAATACACCAAATGTATGAACTTAAAGGTTTACAAATAATAAAATATGACATAATGTTTTTGTGCAATGCTGTATCACGTTAGGCCCAACTCATTAGTTTTGTTTGGAAAATCTTAAATTATTTCGGGTAGTGATTTACAGGTCGTTTGTACTGTTGCAATAAAACGAAATACTGAGTAGAGCGGAGGTACAAGGCAACTGTAATATCATCACGACTGAGCCATTCTTCGGTGGTCCCAACAATGTTACCTCTTGCGTCTTTGGCTGTTCGTTTTGCGACTCAGTACTGGGAAGCCTTTACACAAGCGAAACCTGCTTAAAGACATCGAAGACTGTTGACTTGCACACAACAAATGTCCAGTCTTGAAAGATCTTCACTTCACTTAAAACTCTGTTGCCTTCCCATAGATCTCTAAGATCTTTAAAACTCCCTCCGCAGCTGATGTTTTGATTCTCGAATTAGCAGTAGTCTGTGGCTTTTGCGTTTCCGGTCTCATTCACTTCCGTCACCGAAAGATGCGGTTCACAACGAACTAAGTCACGTGGTACAAGTATCCTCCCTTATCCGTTTTTTTACTCGCCACTTCGGTCTTCCGTCACCCCTCGGACGACCTGCTGTGCACCAACGAGAATATAGCTTGCGGTTATTGATTTTCAAAATGGCGAACAACAAAGTCGATCTGGATCAGGTAAAAAGCAAAGAAATCCTTTACAGTAGATTCATAAAGATCCCATTGGGCTAATTAATCGTGGTAAGCGACAGGTACAAACATTTTTCGAAGTGAGACTTTAAATAAGTAATTCATTTATTCACACGCAACTCCTCTGGACCCTGTGCAGTAGATTGAAATCATAATTCAACTTTTTCACTTGCTGTCCGTGACTCTGAGGAATTACTGACGAACCCGGGGGAGGACGACTCTGCATATGAAAGGCAAGGGGATGCTCGTCGGAAATTTTGAATTAAACCCCTACACGAGACCGATCCGGGCGTAGCCCAAGCTTTTTTGACCCCTAAAAGAGACTATGTTACTGAAAACACAGACAATACACATATTTTTATATTTTTTCACATGCAACCCTAAACGAGACCTTCACGGCTAAATATGATACCGTTTTGCCCAGAACACCATAAGTGAGACTAAAATCCGAAATTTACACCCCTAAGCTAGACGACGAGCATCCCAAGCCCTTTTATATGCGGAGCGCCCCCGAGTGACGAACGCTCGCGCTCTATTCGCCTCCTCACTTCTTATCTTATTACAAACAAGCGAGACTCAACGCTACTTGGAGCGTTTTTGTTTTTACTTTTGCATTTGTTCTGTAATTTTGTGATAACAGGTGTTCAACAAAGAAAACAATTTGACCAAGCACAAGTGAACGACAAGTTTAACATAAGCAGAAAGCACGCTAATTTTTCCTCACGACTACAAAATACTGCCAAATTACGAATGAATGCCTTCGAATAGTCGGCCTTGACCATCATGGTGACACCACCTCTTCATGGACCGAATAAGATCGTCCCGAATACCAAGCAAAACATTTGTGGTGGACTGTCCTTTCCTGAAGGCCGAGATGCTTGGGAGTAATAAAGATTGTTCATCAATATGCCCTATTAAAAACCACATTATGTGACATAGGCCATCTGTAAAAAGAACTTTCTTCTTCTTGTTCTTGTTCTTGTTCTTGTTCTTGTTCTTATTCTTCTTATTCTTATTATTATCATTATTATTATTGTTATTATTATTGTTATTAATATAGTGGACGAGATGCTTGAGCACCAAACGCTCAATGCAAAGACTTTGGAGAGCGCGAGAAGTATAGAGACCGGTCGATAGTCTGCGTCCTGTTTTGGGTTGTCGACTTCAGGGACAGGTGAGATGTGGGCAGTTTTCCAGATGCGTGGAAACTGCGAATTAGAGATACACACGTTGATGATATGTGCAAGAGGACCCGTAGGGAAATCGCCAACCTGTTTTACATATTTGACGGGAATTTGGTCAACGCCAGTAGAACAGTCCGATCTAAGTAGGCTAATCTCTTTGAGAACCTCCCCTACGACAAAGGTCAAATGTAAAGGCGATAAATCTATATCAAAACGATCAATATTCTTTAAATATATTCTCCTCTAAAAGAAGCATTTGACTTCTGCTGGAGCTCGTTCACAGATGACACAAAACTTTACCAAAATCGACCGGGAGAAACATAAAATCGATTAATCTGGATTTGGAACCCCATGACTACTAGAGTAATTATGTAAACATTGACTTACGTCATCAGTATGGAATTTCTGTCGCTGAGACGCAGACTTCTCTCCTGGCGAAACGTCCCTAGCAGCGAAACGTCCCTAGGAGCGAGGAGAAACGGCTGTTTTCGGAGGCTCATATTCAATCAGCACATAATTAAAACTGTCTTTTTGCATGCGTGTCTTAAGACTTACTTACCACATTATTGGTTTATGTCGGAAAGGATAAAATGATATCTATTCAACATCTCTCTCGAATTTCCCATCAGAAATTCCCTTTTCTTATTAAACAAATCCTAAAATAAGGTAGGACTGTCATGAATGTTTTCCCATGCTACCTTGTGATTAATTAAATGGTCTGTCCCTAAGAGAGTATAGACCTTGGGGATGACGAGATGGTTCAGCAATTTTTCCTCTTTTTTTTTTTTTGTTTTTACTCTTGCATACGATTTTCCATTAAAGTTCACCGAAAATGGACGTTAAAAGATGTTAGTGTTATTGTAGGAAAACAAATAGTCAAAACTTTTCTTCCATGGCTTATTTTACAAAAAGATGACAATTCTTCATGATCCTCTTTAAAACAAATAGAGTATTGCCCATGGAAAACTGTTGCCTGATTTATTAAATAGAACACTGAACAATATCCACACTGCAACGCAATAGGTAACCAGCAATCAGTTTTCCAATCCAATACAAAACAAGAAATACCAGCGGTTAAGTAAAACTGAGCAGAGTCAAATCGGTATTGTGGTAAAGTTGTGAAAATAAAAGAGCTTGAGTCATGATTAAAGTTGTTTATCGCTTTGTGGCAGTAAGATAGTAAGATCAACAATTGAACATCAACAACAACACGACAAAAATTAAGTAGCTTTGGAGGCTAAAGTTTTTTTAGAGTCAGTAAGACTCGATGTAAGGATAAACAGGGATTAGGTTTGTAAATATACATGTAACACAGCGTCCGAGTAAAAATTGTGAAGCGGTAGTTCTGTCTTTGTTAAGATATCTCTGGATGCTTGAAAGAAATCCTCTGAAACTCGTGGGTTCATGGTCGGAGCCATCTTTTTTTCCAACGCCAAAGGTGGTAGTTCAGAAGTTGTGGTGAAAGCTTGTGAAAAGATGTTGGAGAACTAAGCAAACCAGCGTTTGATGTCTGAATGAAATTATTGAATAACTCGACGTCGTACACAGTTTTCCTCTTTGTATTCGGATTTTCTTGTTCTTCTACGAATTTGATCAGTTCCTCATCTCTGATCTCCACAAACCAGCTTGTCTCCATTTTATAATAAATTTAAAACTTAACTTCGACTCGTGAAAACTGCGAAAGGAACAAACGACGGAAAACCACAAGTGCTTGACAGCGCGGAAAAATATTGTGAGCTGATTGGTCAGAAAGGATATAACACATGTGTGGATAGAAATGATATTACCACTGGCTAGATAGCACATTTATCTTTTTGCTACCACTTGGTATACCTCTATCTTTTATTTAATAAAAGCGATTATGTAGTACTATTATGTGGATCTTAGAGGGTGTTATATTCCTCACACTCAGCCTCATCCTGTAGTTGTTTCAGTTGTTTGTTTAAGAAACCGACGAGCATCGCGTGGGTTTTTTACTGCATGACTTAGTCTCAAGAATAATTGTTGGGGACTTTTAGGTACATTTTTCCTAAACCACCTGCATGCATTCTGTAAAGTAAACGGGTGGGTCTTTTCCATTTTTAGTGCACGCTTTTTAGATAAAGTAAAGACCAACAGCAGAGTTTTTATTTCGAACTGACGTTGGCGCATTAGCTTGTCGAGGGCCGCGGAATCTGAGGTAGAATATTCCAGGTTCTTTAGTTCAGCATAATATATATTTTTCCAATAAAATTTACAGACGAATGTATGGTAAATGAAAAATACAATCGTACTAGTTCTTGCGTAAGTTAAATTGGTCTCCCCAATATCTATAAAACTCTATCCTAGTTTTTAAACTAAGTTTGATAACCACCCTAAGGAAATCTCCTTTTAACAAGCGAAAATCGATATGTACAAACGAGCCAATGAGTAATTAAAAAAAAGTCAAAACTTTTATGAATTGACTTTAATCTTTCGTGGCATTTTTCAATCTCTGATCTTTTTATCTAGCCTATAAAATTAGGTATGTCTATTTCTCCAGTGAGCAATAAAGACCTTATCATTTACCTTATTATTTTTTCAGGTCATACTTTTCCGTGACAATTTTATCTTTTATGAAAATTATTGACACCGGTTCTAATAGAAGCTACAGACTTTGGTGTCTATCAAAGGGGAAGTTAAACTTAAGCTTTGATAAAGTTACGGTAATAGGACCGTGTGACGTACTCGACCAATTAGCATAAGAAATTATGAGTCAGGTTACCCTTGGACGGTATGACACGAAATCCTTTTACCAATGAATTGGGTCAATAACAGAAGCACACACTAATGTGATAAATGATGGAAGTACAAGTTTCTTATAACATCTATCTGTAGCTCCATTTGTCGTATTATGAGACTTGAGTAACAGCATTGTTGTTGCTGTTGCTGTGTGTTTTTTTTATGGAGATTGTTCTACAGGATGTAAAATGTCTAAGAAAAAATTGATTCATTTTTGTTGAGTTTTTTTTTACAAACCGAATCTGGGGTACTTGCTCTCTAAGTTATTTTAATTTGGACTGGTGAACATGGACTAAGTAGATTTAAAAATCGTATTGTCTAAGCAACATTTGGTTGTTTAATTTTCATTTGGCTATGCGACTGACTGATTTGAAGCACCATCTAATTGGACTGCTATGGATAGCAGCTCCCAACAAATAAGAGATATTGAAAAACAAG